AAACCGAATCCTGCTCCAGTACCCAGCTGTGAATTGGAAGGAAATGAAGTAATTAGAGCCTTGACCCGACCTAGAAGAGCAGCGCAGAGAGAAGTAGCGATGGCCTGGATCTGGCCTTTGCCGTGAAATGAGCTCAGGAGGGAAACCCACAGCTTTTACTCGGAATTCACGCCATTTTTTTCCCAACATTTTGAGCTAAAGTGTGCACTTCCCAAGTGCATTTAGACTTACCGTTATTTTTACAGGCCCCCTTCTCCCCGTCCCTTCCCCGCGGTTAATCCCTTGAGCCCAAATCAGACTTCCCTGAACAGTTTCCTTCTTACGGAGCTTGTGCGGGTTTCATCCAGGCTTGGGCTGCCGGGCGCTCTCTGAGCAAGCCTCCACCACAAAAAAACAGATATACACGCTGAATGTATCCTTTCTTTCCCCTCTTAAAATAGATTTCGCAGTCCCAAAGCACCAGGCCAGTGTCTTAAATACCTTCTTTTTAAAAGATTACATACATACTTAGTTTTTTGTGCGTTAATTTCCTCTTTCTAAGTCCGAGCTGGGCGGAAGCGTAGGAGGCAATGCCTGAGCTGGAGCTTGGCCCCAGCCAAAAAACCAGCTGAATGGGACCCCTCGCTTCCCAAACCTCGCCTTCCCTGGGCAGCCGGCTCCCCTCGAAAGAGAGAGCCCACACCCCAGCAGCGCTGCTCGGCTCCCCAGGCATCACGCGTGGTCCGTTGCGTCCGCACCGAAGGAGCCCTGGGGACGTGGCATCGCAGTCGCAGTCACGTCGAGGAAGGGTTGCGGTCGCAGCAGCTGTCAGTAAAGCATCAGAGCGGGATGGATCTTTTCTCATGAGGCTGTGTGCCCACAGGTTTGTCGTCCAATGAAGCTACTGGCTGCATTTCTACGTTCGCTTCTCCATCGAGTTGCTTAAGGACTGGGGAGAATACGGGCCGTTCTCCAGCCGGCTCGCTTAGACCCTCTCGCTGCCTTCCTGAGCTAGCGAGAGCGCAACTGCCCTCGGCTGAAATCCGCCCAGGGGCTGTCAGGTTCGAGACTTGAGGCGATGCGAAGCTAGGATGAATGTTTTATTAATTTAACACACTGTAATTTTGTGTAAACTTGCACACAAAAAAAAATAATGTATATAATTACACTTAAAAAGAGCAGGAATTCCCAGCCTCTACCCTTTAAAGGTCAGGTGTGACGCTACCTTTGCCACAAATAATGCCAGCTGAGAAGTAATATACCTCCTGCTGCACGGTGGATG